TCCAACGGAATTATTTTTGTGTGGGTGTAAATCCATGCACAATTTGTACTTGGAATAAGTCACCTTTTTATTCAATTCGCGTTAAATCGAAAATGGATAAAACTTGTTTATTCAACTTCCATCTAACCTGTGCGTAATATTTGTTTTAATTAATAGCAGATATTGTATATTGTTCATTAAATATGTTGTATACACAGTACTATATTGTATAAAATAGTATATTACTGTTTTATTATATCATGTGAGTTAAGTAATATATACAGTACATTCAAATCGTTCCTCTACTAAAATTTGATATTCCATGAAAAAATTTATTGTAAATTTCTAGGGAATTTGGAACATCAATTCTTTAAACATTATGAATAATTCAAAAAATGATTTTATTTATTATAAATGACAAAAAAATATATCAAAATTCACATTTGAAATACATCATGTGCCGTTTAATGCGAAATTCCAGAGTATTCCCATGGGTACTATAATAAGTTATTAGATCATAGAAACTTTTACGGAGATCAAGTAGGACGATAATAACGCAGGTCAGTAAATCACATCAATTCGGTTTAGGTCCCGTAAATAAGAACCTTGAAAAAAAAAGTTAATAAAAATGATCCGAGATTTCGTCACAAAAAAAAGTAAGAACCAAACATACCATCTGCTACGACAATCAACTGCCTCTTTTCGAACCAACCGTTTTTTATCATCCAGAGCATTTCCCACCCCCTTTAAAACTTTTGATTTGAAAGGATACAACACGTCGAATGGGATCGTATCGGGAAATGCGCCCAGACATTGTAACGAGGATATACGAACTCTCTTTGTACCCGAGTAATAGTGACACGATAAGAAAACATGGTAAGATGAAAGACGCGTGAAATCATTATCTTCAAACATACCATGGTGTTTTCATTCGTCGACTGAATAAATGATAACATTAACGGAATTACGGTCGAGATGTGTTCGGAAATTATGTGCGGTGCTTCAAGAGCGATCAAATAGAATGTATCAATTGTCGATACTTGGAGATTGGGATC